CATGAAAATAATTGAATAACAATTCAATAAAAATTTAAATACAATGAATAGCGACATCTTTAGCCGAGGCTGGTAGCTGTAAAGGTATCTAACTGGGTGATGAAATATCATAGATTTGTCATAGACGGCGCTTCGGCTAAAAAGTCGTTGAAAAACCGAATAGAAAGATACGACGCAAGCACATAGAAAAATTCGTGACGTCAGTTTGATCGAAGGATTTTTTCTGAGTGTTCGATCTTTGTATTAATAATTATAACAAACTAGTGGAGTAATTTCACATAAAAATAATTGAATATCAATTCAATAACAATTTAAAATATTATTTTCCCAAAACTAACTCTTTGTCAATAGTTCATTAATTATAATATTTAAACACAACGTTGTTCTACACAATAAACAATTTAAGTTGAATAAAATAAAGCATAGACCAACAAACACAATAAACATACGGAACTATTGTGTAATTGATAAGATAAGCAAGCGGATCCGGCGATCTGGTGTTACTACACATTTAAGCATATTATTATGCTGTATAGTGAATCACTGATAAAAGGTTGTCTTTTTTAACCCGGAGGCTGGCCGACCTCAACCCAGCTTTGTATTGGTAACAAAAATATTATTTTTAGTAAAACATCTTCAAATAATAGACTGCGGGATATCTTTTTTTTTATTATTGGACAAACACATCTTATAATGTAATTCCTTCGTGTTGTTTACTGAAATTTTCTTGGTGGAGTGAATGGACGTGAGTATATAATATAATGTTTAATAGGATATTTAAAGTATTGATTGGCCAAATTAAAATTTGTTGTTATCAAATCAATAAATAATAATAATAATAATAACGCACACACTCCACATAGCCCTAGGCAACTAGGGAAATCCCTGTGTCGCGGGTGACATGGACACACATAGACAACCACAAATTACACCCAAACTCACGAGAGAAATAAATTTAGGCCATACAAATTATCTTATTTGTAAAAAAATGAAATTGACAAGATAAATAAATAAAAAATAAAAAAAATATTTCCCCCGGGCCCAGGAATCGAACCTGGGACCTCTGCGTGGCAGGTTATCCGTTAGCAGGTTGTGTCGATCTTATGATTTTTTAAATAAATGTGTACATTTATTTTTCGACAAAGAGTAACCCATGAAATTTCTTACTCATTCTTCTCAGGGGAATCTGCCTTACGAATGAATCGTAGAATTAAATCAATGTGACGAGTTCAAGTGTAATTTGCTTACCTTTGAAATAAACATTATTTGAGTTTGAGTTTTCAATAAGTCCGAAACTGCGAAGTAGGAACGTAAATCTCGTAAACTGACTCAATTGAGTATAACGCAATTTGTAGGTTTGCCGCGTCCCGCTGCATTTATAGTTACCTAATCTTGTTGGACGATGTTAGAGTGGTCTATTATGTGACCGACATCTTTGAGAATAAATGAGTGCGCCGCTGTGGCTCACTGACCGAGTTGTTTAAATAGTTACTTCCACTCAACGCAACACGCCGAATATTTGGTTAATAGCCAAAAAATCTGCAACTGATGTGTTACGAGACACCCGTTCCCTTTAACAATGAAAAAAAAACTAGTTTTCACTTAGTAAACCTAACACGCAGTCTCGAAGTGTAATAGCAGGAATTATTCCATTCTCAAGGAGTTCTACCTTGAGAAAGAGTTTATCCAGGGAAGTACTGACACCTTACCTATTTCTGCCGCCAAGCAGTACGTAATGTAAGCATTACTGCGTACCGGTTTTGAAGGGTAAGGGTGCTAGTGAAGTTACAGGTACATGCTTCTAAAGATGTGTCTGTAATTTCACTAATGTCACCCTGGTGACGGGCGTAGTGGCAGTGCCCTCAGATCTTTGCGTTTTAAAGCTCGTATGTGACACTGCAACTATTATATTATGGACAGGTGTGTCCACCAGTTTACCACCAGGCCCA